CGTAACGCGAAAAACTTGTCAACACTTTAGCGTCAAAGAATTCGTGAAATAAGGGGAATTTCTTGAATTGTACACAGCCTAGCTTAGTCTTAACCCAGCCCCACACTGGGAAGAATATTCTCCACCTTCAATTTACGTCACTAATCCGCAACGATGTTGTGAAATTAACAAGGGCAGACAAAGCTGGAGAGAGTCTGAGAAATCAAATCCACTTTGATGCAATGTAAATTGATCGATCCTAAAAAGTGATAAAAACTTATCTGAAGTTTACAATTCATCTCAACAAAGCGATGTGGGGTGTGATGTCAAGAAAACGTGACTGGAAGTTTCGGGAGGCGGAAGGGCACTATTTAAATAACTCGGTTACTCTTGGTAATCTCGGATACTTTTAAAAGGTAACGATAAAAATTCATGTGGGCTTTAACGCGCACTCCGCCTTTAATGCCAGGTACAGTAGTGTCATTAACAATCTTTGGTAGAATAGTACTTAATGAGGCAAGACTTTTTGGTGCGCGTACCCTTAAACGTCCGAAATAATTTAGAAAGGCCATTTAGAGACCCTGTCTGGTTTTAGTGTTATGAGCTCAGTGGTCCATCACCATAAGAACTTATTCACGTTTGCGGAGCATGGAGAATGCCGGGATGCTGATCCACCACACGTAACCTCCAGCATTTCTGCAAGCCTCCTCGGGCCCAGTTCTTCAAAGCGCAAACCCAGGGTTAATGTTTAACCCTGGTTTCTCTATTTCTTTGTTTAAAAGCCGTTATTGGATCATTTTCAATTTTCTTTTTAGAACATCTAATTATCAAATTGTAGACAAAAAAAATTATACTGAATTTTCTTTCAAAGCTTTCAGATATAAAATCAGATTTCACAGTCACCCTTGGTTTTCTTAACCCACCTTGAACAACCGGTAATTTTCTAGTGCTACTGTGTAATCATGAGTGAAGTAAGGGACTGTCTCTATCATATTTTTACAAGAAAAGACTGGCATGCATAGCTTATCAAGCTTATTATAATTTAGCACCACCTAGTATCACATATCTCTTTACTAAGCACGCGACAAATTACAATTTAAGAGATAACCTTAAATTCGATTTAACCCATGCCTACTGGAAAGGACACAATGACTCCTTCACTCATCGAGCCAGTATAATTTGGAACAGTCTACCTGTAAAGATCAAGTCTCTTCCTTCCTTTGCATCGTTTAAAGCAAATCTTGTAAGGCCCTCTAAATCTATTGATAAAATATCTTTTGGTTGTAGGTCTACCATTACATTTAAGAACTCTGATGATTTTATATATTTTTAGATGCTATTTTCTATTTTTATTTGTTATTGAAATTTGTAAGTTTCGTTCAGTTAAGTTAATGTGAATTTAAATTATCTAGTTAATACATTTTGTCAATACTTATTTATGCATAGCAGGTCAACATCAGCTTTCGCTGCCATATTTTTAACCTGCATTGTTAAATAAAATATGTATGTAGGTATGAGAGTACAGGGGCTTACTCAAAAACTCAAAGCAATACCATGACCACAGTACGTTCAACCGACTGACTGTACCGCTGACTGGTTGGCTGACTGGCCTATACAGAACAATACTCTAAGTTTCCGAGTAAACACAGGAATATCTACACGTCTACAAATGAAAAAACTACAAAACTTGACGTGGAATACAGTCAAATAAAACCTGTTTCCATGGATTTAATCAAATAAGGAGTCATTGGAAACTGCACTTGTGTGTACATCCGTATATCCATATGACACAGCATGATACTCCATTAACAGCAAATCACTGACAGTAAAATGCGAATATTTCAAGTAAGAAATATCTCTAAGAAGTAAAGTGTGGGATGCTTTATCTTCATGTGCAGTCTTTAGTTACTGCTGGGGATCTCTCATTTACTTCTTCCAGACTTGGATGACCGAGGTTAGGTCCTGTTTCACACTTAATTCATTCTACAAACCATTTCAGGATCCTCAGTTCATTTGAATACGACACACACAGTGTACAATAAAAATTTTCGGGAGTTTCATCGGGCAGAAACAAGTTTTGTTAATTTTTGTTCGGGAACACATCGTTGAGGTTTCTGCTTTGAAATCATTTCTTGCATAATAGAGGATATTCCAGCATTTGAACTAATCAGAATTAACATCGTTCTTCTCCTCTTGATCTTTGCTTTCCTCACCGACAGTTTTTGACCAAGTCTTCGCTTAAAAGAGTCGCTGCAACTGAAGGGGGGAGGGTAGGGTAGGAGAGAGATTAATGAAGGGGGAGGGGCGCACTAATTTAGTTTCGCTGTCAACGAACTATCATTTTTGCATTCGATAAATCTCCGTATAAAAATTCCTTTATCTTCCCTCCCCGTTCCCCATATCCAGTCAAGGGTGTGGATACGATCACGGGTGCTGTCTAAAACCAGGTGTAGATATTCTTGCTTTCTTCTTATCTGAAATTTAGAATAGGCTTTGACGACGCTACATTGAGGAGAGTGTTGGGAAAAAAGAAATGCTAGTATCCCTAAATCGAGTCGTAAGAAGCAAATTTGTTCAAAGGATTTTTCTGCGAGTTCTGTAACTTATAAGCACAAACCGCTCGAGCAGCGTTTAAAAGAAGCGTATGCTGGGACTGCAAGTATTTGGCAAATAAATCTATTATACCGACGAAATATTTCAAACCTTGAATTTTATTTACAAATGTTTTATTGCTCCTCATGAATAACAAAAATAATCCACGTAAATTGTTCAAGCTGGGTGTTTTCAAATTCAATGCCCTTCTCCAGTCTAAACTGCAACAAAACAAAAAATTTCCTCTTGTTCTATCAGTAACGTAACGAAATCATTTTCCGTGAATTATCTTGTCTTGATTCTTTTCAATTTTTAGAGAATATTATACACCACGACAACTACTCAATTCAGCGAAAGACTATTCCCGAAAGAAAAACGTTTTTAAAACTTCGGATAGCATTCGCTTCTTTTTTAGGCCCAAAGCAACTGTTCACCAGTAAATAATTGTATACTTTTACCAAATTAGCCACATCTTCATTCGGCTGGGTTTTTTTTTAACAGAGATCTGAGCCGAGTATAATGACTGTGTAGATAGCCTGTCTTTTAACCTGTAAAAACAACAAACACAACAGAACGATTAGAAATCAAAGGAGAGTAAACTGCATCAAATACCATTTGATTCTACTCCCTGAAGCGGGCGATTAAGTGTCAGTTGATGCCTGAAAGTTATTTATGAAAACAACCCACGTCATCACGTTTGATTAATAAGCAAAGAGAGAGAACACACAGGGAAATGGAGAAAAAGCCTTGAGGTTAAATCCTGAATTTACTGTCATCTCAGAGTTAAGAGGGAGATTTATGATTCTAAGTAACACGTTAAACGAAATACACTGTTATGAAACTAAGCCTAAAATTACTAACTGTGCTGTAATGAGCTGTACCTTGAGCGGGTTGAAGGCTGACATAGTGCAGCTCATGAATATGTCCCAGCACAAGTGCTTTGCTTTCGTCAACTGAACAATGTGGCGTAATCAATACATCATTACTGTGGGGTAGACTGCTGACCACACGAATGCACGTTTCATAGCAGTTTGCTGCGGCATACAGAATCACATGATCACCCCAAGCGCCATCTTGTTCCATGTGTGTTAAGTATTCAGTCCATGTTTGATGTCCATGGACAAAGTGGAACAGATCTGTTCCATCTGGCTGTAAGAAAATCAGTTTAAGAAACAAAGTTAAAGAGGATTGTTGATAGGAACTTGAGCGCGTGGAGTACGAGTCATAGAGTAACTTTTTTGAAGAATGGTACGAGACGACCTTTAATTAGCAATTTATTGTACGACAAGGAATAGCAAACACAAAAACAATAGGAAAGATCATCTTTAAGAATAACTGGAATTCTGTTTAAGGTTATCTGATGGATGACTAAGGGAGACAATTTTTAAACCAAAATATTCAAATGACTAAAATCATAAACGTCTGCTACTTCGCAAGTCACATTAAGTAACAAATGGATTTTAACTGTAACCAACAGCATTGTGCGGCTTCTTAAATAATAAAGTTATGCTGTGAACTCTGGGATAGGCTCTGGTGCTGTTGACCTGTATACACACTTAACCTTAAAAGAACATCACGTGACATACTCTGTTAGGCATACTAAAATCAACTTACTAGTTCTGGGTTACGTCTGAGGTACTGGACCAAGGTTAGTCTTAATCTGCATGGTGGGATATAGATTTTTTCAACAATATCCAGTTGTTCTGACAAGGCATAGAACATGCAATTTCCTGATTCTTGATTGTCAAATATCCTGAAGCCCTTGTCAGATGCAATATTCCTCAGCCCCAATGATAGATCTGTTCTTCTCTTGACTTGCCCGGCATCAAGTCGCATCTGCTGAAGTTTCTGGATGATTCGGTCCAGAGAACCTCGAAGATACAAAAGTTTTAATTAACCTAACTGCATGAAAAAAAACGAAACAATTCCCCACCTTTCAAGAGAAGCCACTCAGCCTTAAAAAGATAAACTGTGACTTTTCATGTGCTAACGAATATACTAATAATCAAGAGAAAAGATGCAGAGAAGAAAAATTTACGACAAGGTTCACATTCTGACATACTTGCATAACTGGAAAAAGAACCCCAGCGCCGGTTATTTAAACAAGGTTCAGCCGTTTGACAAAACCGCGTTCAAAACTATCTCAGATTTAGCTGAATCTTTTATCTGAACATTTATTTTAGTCCAGTGTCAAAAAGCCTAAGGCTAGCAGCGGAAGGTCCTTTATTTAACAACAGCCGTGTTTAAGGTTAGATCTCCCATAAATAACGGGCACCATGTATTTCCTCTGCCGCATTAATATATGAGTACTTCATTATTGTGTCAGACAACACTTCATTCTGAATAGCCGGTACATAAGCACGTTTTGATAACAGGATTTTAAATTTGGCTTCGTTTCGGAAAAAAAAAAAAAAAAACATAACCGGAGAAAGCAGAGGTACAAAAATAACACATGTCTCTTCAGTGCAAAGATTATCACACTGAAGTGCCATTTTTAAAAAGCGTAGCTGGCTTGAAGTTGAAAGAAAACTGAGGAAAGGTGAAATGTCAGATCTTCTTCAAACCTGTCTGTAACTCTTTGGGGATGTCAATTACCATGTCTTATTACTATTTTGTTACTCACTTGGAGTCAGTGATGAATCAACTGTTAGTTGTTTGGTTGACGTATCGACATCTTCGCCCTCCTGGGTTCTAAAATTTATGTCTCGTCTTTTACAACCTAAACAGATAGAAACAAACCTTTTTTCAATATCACACAATCAATAAGAGGATGAAACAACTGAATACTATTCAGGTTTAACATATTTTAAAGACGGTGTCCCAGCTTTCCATGGCGCTTCATAAGACACCGAAAGCTGAGTAGCCCCCTAAAACACTTTTTGAAGGACATTCAAAATGTTCTCACCACGAACAATGTCCCACATCTTCTCCACAAGAATGTCACATTGTTTCTCCCAGTTGAACTTCTCTTCATAGGAACTCCTCAATTGCTGAATCTCATGGAGGCGGTCTAATCTTTCCTTCTGTCGGACACCAGCAATTGCCTTTGCCCACTCCTTAGGGTCCTCAGAGAGGTGTTGTTTACTAAAGG